TTGCCTGTAAAATTATCTGCTTACTTCTTCACCCAGCTAACTTATTTTCTAGGCTTCCTTGAACATTCTTGTCATAACTTTCTTACCTCCTAGACTAAGTTAGCATTCCCCCTGTGCATGTTCACACACTGATCACATTTTAGATTATTTGCTTAATGTCTGGTTTTTCAATTCTGATTATTTGTTCTGATAGATTTCAGATAAACTTCATGAGGGTTGGGATGTCATATTTTATCATTTTATCTCCATACCTAGCTCAATACATTGCCACATATAATTCATTAGCTGCACCCTAAAATTCCATCTTTCTTCTTACAGCAGCCCATTACAGTACGTGAAGGCCAAACCATCTGTGTGCGTTTCTGGCGATGCAGCAATTCCAAGAAGGTGTGGTATGAGTGGGCTGTGACAGCACCAGTCTGTTCTGCTATTCACAATCCCACAGGCCGCTCATACACCATTGGTCTCTAGCCAAGCCTGCAAATGTCCGGAAGCGGCTTCGGCTTCTGCTCCTATAGCACAGAAGGTGCACTACATCTGTGGGCTGCGATTCCCCTTGCCCGTCAGAGAGGAGCATTTCACTCTGTTTTCCTGCCTTACAATCAAGGTGGGCAAAGGAGAATTAATTACAAGGCTCAAGCCACCAATCTGTGAAGACTTCAGGCCAAGGCATGAGGAATTAGTGCTAGATCTGAAGCTACTCCAACAGGCACTCAGCCTCAAGCGCTCCCTGGAACAGCCCTGAGAACGTGCAGATTGAACACATTTTCAGCCCTTTCCCTGATCATCTCTCTTTCTGTTTTGTGTGGGAGGAAACACAAATAAAGTGAAGTTATGGCCTTTCCAGCTCCAACCCTGCTCTCCCTGCCTCTTCTTTCCCAACCTTACTTAAACCTAGACATATTTAGATCTGTGCCCTTATCCAAGACCCAAGAGTGTCCATTTGAGAAGCTTAGTGGTGACTCTGGGACTTCTGGGTCTAGGTCTTTCTGATTAGCTACAGAGAGGTCTAGTCTATTAGGACCTGTGATTAGGCTTTTGTCTGGAGAGGAGGCATAATTTGCCACCATAGAGAAAGATGGGGTTGTATATAAAGCCAGCTTTCCTTCTACCTTCCTTAGCTACTGAACTGCCAAGCACCTTTGTTACCTCTTAAGAGAGAAACAAAGCTGTCCAGGCATCTCCAGCAACAAGCCACCTATTTTTGTTGTTTTGTTAATCCTCACCAGAACATATTATTTCATTGATTTTTTTTTTTAGAGAGAATAGGAGGGTGGAGGGGTGGTGGTGGAGAAATAATGTGTGAGATTGTTTGCCTCTAGCATGTGAGATGACAGGGCCAGGGATCATACCTGCTACCAGATATGTGCTCCTGACCAGGAATCAGACCCCAGACCCTTCAATGCACAGGCTGATGCTCTAACTACTGAGAACACCAGCCAGGGCAACCTATTACTTTGGAATAAAATCATAGGGTTAAGAGTCCTAAGAGATCATCTAGTCCAATTCTTCATTTTATAGAGGAGGTATTTGAAGTTGGTACAATAATATAAAGTTAGTATTCAAGTCCAGGCTGGACACAGGTCCCCTGACTCTGGCTCTCTGGGTGTAAGAACCAGCTACCTTTTTGGAAGTCTTGGGATTGGGGGGTGGGCGTAAGTCAGTTCCATCCTTTCTGGTTAGAGGGCTGACTACTGCTGCATGGAAGGAGTCACCTGAGAAACTGTCTCAAGTTCACCCTTGCAGGGTCAGGTGTGTGGGCTACTGATTGGAACTGATGTACCTGAGGTGTAGGACCAGACAAATTGGTGACGAGACCTCTTTCCCAGCTCCCAAGCACTGAGGGCAGGAGGCGGTGTTTGGGAGGGTTGTGTAGATAGTCCGTTCAGATGGGGATATGGAGTCCAGCATCTTTCCTGACGTGAAGCAAACGCAGTTCTCCACAAAGCTGTCCCTAGACGGACGTGACCCCCTTGACAAATCAGTTGGGGGAGCCAAGAACGTCTATTACAAGTCCTCGTTGGCTCCGCCCACGGGGGGGTGGCCTGGTCAACCCGAGCTGGGAGCGGGGTAGGAGGTCCCTACGTCTAGTCTCCGCCTGGCTTCTCCGCCTTCCGCAATTCATTTAACCAATGAGCGTGACGGACGGCCGCCTGAGGCCGCGCCCACTTTCCGGAAGTCTCGAGAAGCTAGCCAATCATTGGGAACTTCATGGTTGCCAAGAAGCATTCGAGTTTGGCTCCACCCATGCTTAAAATTTTAACCAATGAAATTCTGCACTTCGGACTGTTGCCGCGAAACCAGTGAAGTTAGTTCCAGCGCCTAATGCTTTAGCGCCTGCGCAGATTGGGGACCGTCTGGAAGACAGTGCAACTACCGCCATTTTGCGGGGAGAGGAGCGGCTCCGGCTGCAGTGGGGCTTTTACTGCTGAGGCTCTAAACACAGCCGAGCTTAGCACCCTCCAACAAACCCGAAGCAGCAGAGAAGACCCGGGCCCCCCTACCCCCGCGGGGACCCGGAACTGGTGAGAAACCCTGAAACCTGGTTCCCTCGCGACGTCACCTATGCGTGACGTAGCCCCCCGGCGCCTGCCGCTGACGTCACAGGCAGAAAATGGCGTCAAGAGCAGAATGAGGCAAGCTTAAAGTAAAAGAAGATTTTTTTATCTTTGATTCGGAAGTGTTTGCTACCTGAATGTAGTCCACTGGCAGGACTTCAGGCATCGGCACCCTCGTGGCTATATCTTATCGAGGAAGACGCTGTGTCAAGGGTCCCAGTGACCCAAGGATCTCTGCCCAGGTCCCCGCAGCCCTTACTGGGGAGGGAGCGTCGACCCACGGGGGCCTGAGAGAAAACGGAGGTTCTGTTTTCAGCCCCGAGTGCCACCACTCAGAGAGATGAGAGAACTGAGATTTCTTCCTTGATCTTCAGTTTCACGAAGGCTCTTCAGTGTATTGGTCTCCGTGGGCCTTTCCCTCTTTCCTTTTATGACCACACTTTCCGTGGCGAAAGAGGAGTGTAGTGAGCCAGGGATGAGGTTTCAACATTGGGACACTGGCCCTCTCAGAGATGGTACTTACAAGCCCATTTTTTAAAAAAAGCGTAGCCTTCGTTTGTACACCTCGTGGGGAATGTTTTTATCTTCCTCATTGTTCCTGTTCTTCATTAAGCTGCCTTAGTTTGGAGATGTTGGTACCAGCTCAGTAGCCGGACCCAGGAGATGGCGCTCCCGTCGCCCCTGGGACTTGAGCCTTTGGTGAATTGGCCCGAGCTGGCCTGACAGTGCCCCTCGTTCTCCGGTGCCCTGGCAGCAGGGGACCTAAGCACTGGCCTGAGTCTTGGCTGTGCTGTGCCAGGATCTGAGCATTGCCCGTGATTGTGGGCCCCTCACGTAGGTTTCGGAGCAGGGATGGCAGAAAGTTCTGTAGTGTTTTCATGGATGGTTTTGAATGGACTTTGACCAATAAATTAGGACCGGGAGAGAGTTTGAAAACGAACAGCCTGAAAACCCATGCTATTTGGGACTGTAATGCTTTTAGGACACCCGAAAGCTATACTAAACCCAGCGAGATTACAAGTTTCAAAATGTGTTCATGTTGTATATGTCTGTGCCTAAATCAGTTCATTCATTTGTTTCTAAGTCAGAGTGAAAATTGTACTCCATCACTGGGGGCTCACGTATCAACTTCAGTGAAAGATTTTGTGTGTAGGGTTACCCCTACCCTGCACTCGCACTCAACGATTCTTGAAATCAGAAGCATTTCATTTAGGGAGGAAAAAGCAAATTGTAAATGATAAAGAGGAACTTTGTGACACTTAGAAAATTTGTGTAGACTTGGCAGCCAAAATGACTGAAAGGAACAGTTTGAGGATAAAAAACTTTTCCTTTTAGAACCATTTTTTCCAGAATAGATCAGATAGTATATATCATAATTAGCCTGGTTCTTGATATTTTGAAACATATACAATAAGGTATGGCTAATGGGACTGACTCTATTGATAAACCCATTGGGACATTAATTCTCTAGATAAGTACATTTAAAAATAGACATCATGATATACTTTGTAATTTTCTTTTTTAAAATTTTCTTTTAAGTTAAAACCATGAGAGAGAGCTAACCAATATAGTGGATAGAACATTAGACTAGGGTCAGAAGACTTTACTCACAAGTCAGCTCCTCCATTTGAATTTTGTGACTTTGGACAGTTCACAAAACTTCAGATTTTCATCTGTGCATTGGAACTGATATCCGGCTGTAGCATATATTACCTTTGATTGTTAAATAATGTAAGGTGTTATTGTAAGAGGTTGTGTTCACTGGATTTTAGACACACCTATTTGATTTTGGTTTAATTTCCAATTTAAGCTTTAAATTTGTTTAAGAGCAATTTTTATTGTTTTACTCTTTCCAAGAATTCTGTCTCTATAACATGCCTAGCAATATTCAGTACTATAAATGATAAGTGTCATTTACATTACATCATCATTACTCTTTTCATATTATTTTATTATATTACTTACTTTTATATTTACATATAATTTTTATGTTACTCTATTAAACCATCAAATAGACTGTGGGTTCTGAGGGCAACAAGGACAGCATCGTTGGATGATGCATTAGCTACTTTAAAGAAGACAACGCTCTTATGGATATGGAAAGTTTGATTATGATTAACCTTAGCATAGATTCTTAAGATTAGTTGGAGGGGGTTTAGCTTTATTGAGGTATATAGTTGATATAAAATTACATTAAAGCGTACAGTTTGATGGGTTTTGATATGTTTCATCCATGAAACATCACCCCAAAACTTTCCTGTGCCCTTTTGTAATCCTTTCCTCCAGCCCCTCCCCACCTACTCTTATCCCTAGGCAACCACTGATCTGCTTTCTGTCACTACAGGTTAGTTTGCATTTTCTAGAATTTTGTATAAATGTAATCATACAATACATACTCTTTTTTGTTTGATTTCTTTCACTTACCATAATTATTTTGAGATTCATCTATGTTGTGTATATTGATAATTTCAGACTAGTAATTTTTGAATAAGTTTTCCTATTGATTTTGTTTGGTATCTTCTGTTTTTCTTATTTAAGAGACCTGTGGTGGACACACTTAGGAAAGATGATTGCTAGATGTGAAAGCTTGGGGGAGCGAGAAGTCCCACCCTGCCTGCCTAGACAGAAAGGCTTCACAGTGGAATTGGTTAAGCTTGTCTTAATCATATATTTCTGAGTTATCTAAACTAGTTGTTGTTTTATGAAAAATGCTTAATGCTGAATTATCTAATTATTGATGTTTTGGAGGGGGATGTGGGAAATAGTTTAGGGCAAATCTGCATTATTCTGGTGTTGCTTTGTATTCTCATTTTTAGTCTTGCATCTATCTTTTTATTGGGAATATGTGCTTATTCCTATGATTTAAATTTAAACCAGTTATTTATTCAGAATTTTGAACAGTAGAATGGAGGCCTAGTGCTTGTTCATTGTAAAGTGAATAGTAACTTTGAATACCAACACTTTCTTTTCACAGGCTAGGACACGGTCTGTATTATTTTGTCTCTACCCAGTTTCCTTGTAGACCCTTCACCTATTCTAAGTCATCAAGCAGAAATAGTTCAGATCTGTAAGGTGCAAAAATAAACCTAGGGTAAGCAAATAGCCGGTACGATTCCTTTGGAGTTTATGAAACAGAGCTATGTTCTAAAGTCTGTTTCTTGGAGGGGGAAGGGAATGTGGTGTGCTGAAAGGGAAGGAAACATATTAATGAGGTTCTTGTGTATTGATATCCTCTCCTCAGATCTGCTGTGATGGCATCCGATGACTTTGATATCGTGATTGAGGCCATGCTGGAGGCTCCCTATAAAAAAGAAGAGGTAATATTCCCACCTCACTCCTGGGTTGGTAAGAAAAAGCAATTGTGGATCATTGGTCTCAACATTTTGTGAATTCTCTTTCTCTGCTTGTTTATTGTGTACAATGGCTATTCATAAAAGACATAGTCATTTAGTAAGCTATTCTGGAGATCAGTACTCAAGGGCCATGCTTTCAGAGAGGGCCCCCTAAAATGGAGGGGGAGGGACAAAAGGTAGGAATGGGTACTTTGCTCATAGTTCTCAATGGTACACTAGAAAGTCAGACCTATACCTCAGACCTAACTGACTTCTCATTCTCTTGAGAAATAGATGTTGAGTAGCTAAAGTTTTAACATCAAAAACTGTCCCTCTGATCTCTTCCTTTTGGGTAGTTTTCCTCCCTTTCTCTCTTCATTTATTTTGTTAGGAGGTCCAGGTGTTTAAAAGTTGGCTAGATAATTAAGAGCTTTGATTTCATATGCTTTTTTCCTTGTCCACTTTTGTTCTTTCTGTGCCCAATGGATTCTATGTGTCTGCCACGATGAACCTTGTGACATTTTTCTGGTGAACCCTTCAGGATGAGCAGCAAAGGAAGGAGGTTAAAAAGGACGGCCCTAGCAACCCCAGCAGCAGCACCGGCAACAGTGGCAGTGGGAGCAGCACCAGTGCGGAGGCAAGCAAGTGAGTGTGGTGTGAGGAAATGGGTTGGCAACTTAGGAAGGGAAGCAGTCTTGTCCGTTGGAGAAACAGCAAGAACAGAGAGGTACAATGGACACAGACAACAGGGGTGTGAGGGCATGAGTGGGGGGGAGGGCGGGCAATGGGGGGATAAGGACACATGTAATACCTTAATCAATAAAGAAATTTTTTAAAAAAGAACAGGGAGGTAATTGCTTCTAAGACAGCTTTTAGTAATGGCTTCACTGGATCTTGGGCATAACGGTGATTTAGTTTAATGATGTAGTTTAAGCTTTTCAGTGTAGATTTGTGGATCAGTCCCAGCATTGATATATTTCATTTGAGTAAAATAGCAAGAAGACTCCTACTTTGGAAACACCAGCTTTGGCTGTATCAGATGCCTGACAGCATCCAGGGCTGTGTATAAGTTGGTGTGCAGTTGCTGTGAGCTACTGCCAGATCATCTGGACTTTGGTCCTTTATTGCTTTCTGTTTCACCCTGGCCATACTCTCATTTCTTTTATGTGGGAGAGATCATGAAACCTTCGAAATAATAAAAATTTACACTGTCTTTCACAGGAAGAAGAGTCGGAGCCATAGTAAAAGCAGGGATAGAAAGCGCAGGTCAGTTATTCTGGGGGCTGTTGGGTTTTGAGAATTACTACAAATGGAAAGATACCAGGGAAAGCTATACATTAAAGGCCAGAAGAGGTTGGTTGGTTCTTTAACAAACTAAATAGTTGTTTCCATCTACAGTCGTAGTCAAGACCGTAGTCGAGACCGGGATCGGCATAGATGGAGAAGTAGTCGGAGCCGAAGTCGAGATCGGCAGCATCGTCACCACAGCCCAAGCTGGGATCATCAACATAGTAGTGAGTCCAGAAGTCGGGCCCCACGTCGTGAGAATCGTGTGCACTACAGGAGTCCACCACTTGCTGCTGGGTATCACCTTTTGCTAATAAACTCACCTTTGTATTGTAATCTGGGTAAAACGATTTTGCTGTGGTCCCTGCCTGAGGATGCTTATGTCCCTCTGTGATAGGGAGGAGATCCAGTTATTGCAGGGGTGGTACTAAGAATTCACAGGTCACCCTGGCTGGGTGACTCAGTAGTTTGGAATTTTGTCCTATATACCAAAAGGTGGATTCAATCCTGGTCGGGGTGGGTACAAGAGCCAACTACTTGATGTTTCTCTCTCCCCCTCTCTCCCTCCCTCCCTCCCTCCCCCCTAACCCCCCTTTATCTTTCTCTAAAAAGAAAAAGTAGCCCTGGCTGGTGTGGCTCAGTTGGTTAGAGCATTGTCCCACACACAGAAAGGTCACAGGTTCAATTCCTGGTCAGGGTACATACCCAGGTTGTGGATTCCATCCCTGGTCAGAGTGCGTGTGAGAGGCAGCTGATTGATGTTTCTCTCTCACATTGATTTCTCTCTCTTCCTCTTTCTCTCTCTTTAAAATCAATAAAACCATGTCCTCAGGTGTTTTAAAATTCAATTTAAAAAAAATCCTTGGGCAAGGATTTAAAAAAAAAAATTCGCCCTACCTGGTTTGGCTCAATGGAGAAAGTGTTGGCCTGCGGACTGAAGGCTCCTGGGTTTGATTCCGGTCAAGGGCACATGCCTGGGTTTCGGGCTCAATCCCCAGTGGAGGGCGTGCAGAAGGCAGATTTTCTCTCATCATTGATGTTTCTCTCCCTCTCCCTTCCTCTCCGAAATCAATAAAAATATATGTATTTTTAAAAGTAAAAAAAAAAATTTCATGTGTGAGAGGAGGTGGTGAATGGGATCTGGTTTTCTCATGATGGCAGACTCAGCATTGGTGCAATGTGAATAAAGTTGGGTGATACAGTTTTCACTTTTTTTGTTCTCTATTCCTTAGGCATAGGTATGGACACAGTAAGAGTCCTCATTTCAGAGAGAAGAGTCCGATCAGGTAAGTTAATGATGAGCACTTCTTTAGGAGTTGTGTGGTATGAATAAAAAGCTCTTTGAGCCCTGACTGGTTTGGCTCAGTGGATGGAGCATCGGCCTGCAGACTGGGGGGTCCCAGGTTCGATTCTGGTCAAGGGCATGTACCTTGGTTGTGGGCACATCCCCAGTGGGGAGTGTGCAGGAGGCAGCTGATCGATGTTTCTCTCTCATCGATGTTTCTAACTCTCTATCCCTCTCCCTTCCTCTCTGTAAAAAATCAATAAAATATTTTTTAAAAAAATAAAAAGCTCTTTGAGCCAAACTTTAGGAATGTGTGGTACTTGAGAGTAGCTGGAAAACAAAGACCAAGTATTGGGGGGGGTGGGGTTCTTAGTAAATTTTACTTTTTAGGGAGTCAGTTGATAATCTGAGTCCCGAGGAGCGTGATGCCCGAACAGTTTTCTGTATGCAGTTAGCCGCCCGCATTCGGCCTCGAGACCTGGAGGACTTTTTCTCTGCTATTGGCAAGGTAACATTTCCCCTTTTAGTTTCCTTCTTAGTACTCTGTCTTTTATCCATCCCCTTCTATACCCAACTTAGGATTTCCTTTTTCCCCTGGATAGGTTCGTGACGTACGTATCATCTCAGATCGGAACTCACGTCGTTCTAAGGGCATTGCCAATGTGAAATTCTGTGAAATCCAGTCTGTGCCACTGGCCATTGGGTTGATAGGGCAGCAGCTGCTGGGGGTGCCTATCATTGTACAGGCCTCACAGGTGAGCAGGCTGAGAAACTGATATGAGAAAACAGCTTTGAAGGTAGCAGGTGTGGGACTTGACCCATCATTCCCTCCTTCCTCAGGCTGAGAAAAACCGACTGGCAGCCATGGCCAACAACCTGCACAAAGGCAGTGGTGGACCAATGCGCCTCTGTGTGGGCTCCCTGCACTGCAATATTACCGAGGACATGCTCCGGGGCATCTTTGAGCCCTTTGGCAAAGTGAGTAGAAAGTGAGGAAAACCTCTGAAGGGAATTGGAAAAAGTGGGGAGGGTGAGTGTTCCTCTTCATTCTGCCTGACCATGATTAACCCACAGCATACATAGTAATGGGCATATGGGTCCATGCTTGAACAATTAGACAATTAGGCTCCATCTCTGTTCAGTAGACAAATGAGTCAGCACCATGAAATCAAGGTCCAGATTAAGTAAGATTAGTCAGAAAG